CCCCGCGTCCTTCCCGGGCGCCCCAACCGTCGCGACCTGCCCCTCACCTCAGCAGTCGCTCGGCTTCCGACCCGCCGTGGCCCCCGCTCCGGCCGGGACAGCGTCTCCAGTCCCCGGTCCAACTCTGACCCCGACTCCCGGTCTCGCTCCGGCCGCGCTGCCCAACCCTACCCAGACTCGCTGCGGCCGCTTCTGCCGCCAGCCGCGACCGCACCGCCCCCGCCGCACCCGCTGTGCTCGTCCCATTGGCTGCCTGGCAGCAAGCCCCGCCCTCCGGTCCCTTCCGCACTCCGGATTGGGCTAGGGGAGTTCGGTGGCGGCACGCCCCCTAGCGCGCGCAAAGGGACGACCCGGAGCGCGCATTAGCAGCTTCCCCTGTCAATCAAAGGGGGAGTGCCCATTTAATGGCCGGGAGGCCGGTGGGGGTCACGCTCTCCTAACTCCCCGCGGGGGCTCCGGTCCGCCCGGCTGGCGCTGCGGGGCGCCAGAGTTTTGCAGCCTTTGCCCACAGCCCGCAGTGGAAGGTGCGGCCCGGCGGCGCGGTGCCTGCGCAGGAGTTGCAGACAAGGTAGACTTTCCAAGTTTTCTCCTCCCGAGGGCTCCGAATGCGGCGGGGACGGGGTGTCCATCCGAGGGTGCGGTTGGAGAGCGGGGCGCCGAGCCACGCACCCGCCCTGTCGGAGTCTCCGGGTGACCTTGATTGATGGGGCATTCGCCCAGTGAGCAGAAGTGGCTGATATCCGCGAGCAATATTCTAAGGCTTTTCCGAGCGTTGCTGCCCACAGCCCCGGTGAGGAGGACGGAGAGGGACGGCCCGGAGCACCGACACCGGGAAACCTACCGGGGAGCATGCGGGGTGAGGAGAGAACGGCAGAGCCAGGTCACCCGGACGTCCAGACTGCATGACAGTGAAACCCACTCAGCAATATCAGAAGACGCTCAGGAAGCCGGGCGCCGGCGGCTCACGCCTGGCATCCTAGCTACTCAGGAGACGGAGATCTGAGAATCGCGGTTCAAAGCCAGCCCGGGCAGGAAAGATCGTGAGACTCTTATCTCCAACTAAGCACCAAAAAAGCTGGAAATGGGGCTGTGGCTCAAGTTGATAGAGCACTAGCCTTGAGCAAAGAAAGCTCAGGAACAGCACCCAGACCCTGAGTTCAAGCCCCAGAACAGGCACCAAAAAATAAATAAAAATAAAAAACAATAACAGCCGCGCACCGGTGGTTCACGCCTGTAATACTACTAGCTACTCAAGAGGCTGAGATCACGATTCAAACCCAGCCCAGGGAAGGAAAGTCCATGACACTCATCTCCCATAAACCACAGAAAATCAGAAGTGGTGCTGTGGTTCAAGTGGTAGAACGCTCACCTTGAGCTGAAGAGCTCAGGGACAGCGCCCAGGTCCAGAGTTCAAGCCCCATGACTGACAAAAAAAAAAAATTGAGAAATAGGGCTGGGAAGGTGGCTCAGTGGTAGAGTGCTTGCCTAACATGCATGAAGCCCTGGGTTCGATTCCTCAGTACCACACACACAGAAAAAGCCGGAAGTGGCACTGTAGCTCAAATGGTAGAGCAAAATAAGCTCAGGGATAGTGCCTAGGCCCTGAGTTCAAGGCCCAAGACTAGCCAAAAAGAGAGAGAGAGAAATAGAGCTAATGGCTCACATATGTAATCCTAGCTACTCAGGTGGCTGTGTAATGGAGTATAACAGTATAAGGCCTGTGCTGGAAAAAAAAAAAAAAGATCTGTAAGATTCCATCTCCAAAAGAACCAGAAAAATGCTGGAAATATGGCTGAAATGGTCGTGTGCCAGCTGAGTGACCAAGCCAGGGAAGTGCAAAGACCTGAGTTTAAACCTCAATACTGGCCAAAAAAAAATTTTTTTTTGCTAGTCCTGGGACTTGAACTCTGGGCCTGAGCTTCTTTTGCTCAAGGCTAGCACTCTACCACTTGAGCCATAGCGCCACTTCCAGCTTTTTCTGTGTATGTGGTACTGAGGAATCAACCCCAGGGCTGCATGCATGGTTAGGCAAGCACTGTACCACTAAGCCACATTCCCAGCCCAAAAAAATATTTTTGAGAAAAATGTGGAACATATATAAAAGCCTTGACTTGGACCCCCAGCATCAAGAGGAGAAGCAAAAAGGGAACTGAAAAAAGAAAAAAAACAAATATGTGATACCAGAAAAGCTATGGCCAGAAAGGGTCTACCCACTCTCCAGCCCCGGCCCCCAGTGACTTCTCTGAACCACATGTGGAAGCCATGCTTCCACTGGACTTGGGCTGCAGGTCCCTGTTCCCAGAAATCCCCAGTCTCCCCCCTGGTCTTTTCTCTGGCCTCCTGCTCTTGATTGCTCTGCCCACTGCCTCACTGTCACTCCATTTCCCACTACACTCATGCCTCTCCTGCTAGACCCACACCAAGCCCCTGTGCCCCTGACACTGCCCACCACAAGTTGCATCTGGGACCCTAGCATGGTTTCCTGGCTCCAGGGAAGATACTGGTCTTGAGATCCATGCAGTAATCAACCACTGCTTAGCTTGTTTATTTTTGTTGTTGCTGCTGTTTGCTTGTCTGTTTGTGCTGGTACTAGCACTTGAACTCAGGGTCTGAGCACTGTCCCTTAGCTTTTTTTTTTTTTTTTTTGGTTGTGGGGCTTGATCTCTGGGCCTGCGCACTGTCCCTGCACTACCGCTTGAGGCACAACACCACTTCCAGCTTTCTAGTGGTTAATTGGAGATAAGAGTCTCACAGACTTTTCTGCCCGGGCTGGCTTTGAATTGTGATTCTCAGATCTCAGCTAGGATTACAGGTGTGAGCCACCTGTATACCTCAATACTGGCCAAAAAAAAAAAATTTTTTTTTGCTAGTCCTGGGACTTGAACTCTGGGCCTGGGCACGGTCCCTTTTTAACTCAAGGCTGGCGCTCTACCACTTGAGCCACAGCTCCACTTCCAGTATTTTTGGTAGTTAATTAGAGAGAAGAGGGGCTGGGAAGGTAGCTCAGTGGTAGAGTGCTTGCCTTGCATGCCTGAGGCCCTGGGTTCAATTCCTCACCACCACATAAGAAAAAAGCTGGGAGTGGCACTGTGGCTCAAGTGGTAGAGCCCTAGCCTTGAACTGAAGAGCTGAGGGACAGCACCCAGGCCCAGAGTTCAGGCCCCTCTACAGACCCAACAAAAAAAAAGAGAGAGAGAGAGAAGAGTCTTCTGGAGCAGGGTGCCAGTGATTCATATTTGTAATCCTAGCTACTCAGGAAGCTGAGATCTGAAGATCACTGATCAAAGCTAGCCCAGGCAAGAAAGTCCATGAGACTTATCTCCAATTAACCACCAGAAAAAAAGGAAATGGTGCTGTAGCTCAAGTGGGTAGAGCACTAGCGTTGAGCTGAAATGCTCGGAGACAGCACCCAGGCCCCAAGATCAAGCCCCACGGCTGACCAAAAAAAAAAAAAAAAGTCTCATGCCCAGGCTGACTTCAAACCATGATCCTCAGATTTCATGCTTCTGTGTAGCTAGGACTACAGGTGCGAGCCACCAGGGCCCGCCCTTCCAGGTACTGTGGACTCCCTTCCATCTCCGCTCTTCTTATCTCCTTAAGATAAACACAACATTCCTTTCATTTTCTGGTGCCTAGTAGTTTACTCTGGACCTCAGCACCTTGATCCCAGTAGCTTAACCAGATATTTTTCCAGAGTTCCTTCTGCGGCTATCAATGTTCTCCACGAGTTATTTCCCATATTGCACCAGCCTCCTCCTTCTACCATATCCACACCAGTCTGCAGCCCCCACTGCCTCTGCCATACCCACCCCGGGCCTTTGCCCCAGTACTGCAAAACAAACCTGCAGTGCTCTGAGCATGGTACCTGGCCAGATCTCCGTCTGCTGCACGTGTTCCCAGACCTCATGCCTTTTGCAAAAGTGCTTTAACTTTTTCTGAAACTTGGAACTGGGGATTGGGATAAAAATATGGCTCAGTGATAAAGCAGTGGTCTAGCATGAGCAAGGCCCATGCTACTAGAGTTCCATCCCTGGTATAATGAGAATAAGAATAAATAAATGGGAGGGAGGGAGAGAGAAAGAGAGAGAGGGGGAAGGAGGTAGGGAGAGAGGAGAGATGGAGGAAAGGAGGGAAAAAAGGAAGGAAGGAAGGAAGGAAGGGGGAAAGGAAGGGGGGAAGGAGAAAGGAACAGAGCCAGGCACATGTGTTTTGTAGTAACTGTTAATATCTTGGCAACACCAGTGTTGCAGCCAGAGGAATATACTCTGGACCTACCTAAGAATGAAGCCCTCCCCCGCCAGCTTTGTGTACAGACTGAATTCCTTCCAAGTGTGTCATTGATTAGGGCAATCACCCCGGCTTTGTTGAGTTCTCGGCCTGCCCACGCATGTCTGCCCACATAAATTGTACCAGTAAGCACAACGCTCCACGAGCACACGCGTGCTGCTGTGCCTCACTCCAAGGGCAGCGGGCTATGGCCCCTTGTCCGGGCAGGCCTCCCCCCACCCCCACTTCCACCATGGGGGTGACCAGGATGCCCTGACACAGGGCCCCCGCATGCCCCCACATCCATTCTTAAGCCTCAGGCTGTTGAAAGGTACCAATCCTGGTTGGGAAGGTGGCTCAGTGGTAGAGCGCTTGCCTTGCATGCCTGAGGCCCTGGGTTCGATTCCTCAGCACCACATAAGCAAAAAGAAAAAAGCTGGAAGTGGCGCTGTGGCTCAAGTGGTAGAGCGCTAGCCTTGAGCTGAAGAGCTGAGGGACAGCGCCCAGGCCCAGAGTTCAGGCCCCACGACTGGACCCAAAAATAATATTCAAAAAAAAAAAAAGGTGCAAATCCTGGTGGATACTAAGTAGAAAGCTTACTAGGAAAGTTTAGCATACATTGTTGCCATTGTTGCCACAGTGGACCAACCATGAACCTCTTCAAAGTAGCTTTTGAAACTTTTGAATGAAGACCTAATAAAGCCCAGCCCCCTGGGACATAATAGAAGTATGAATTCCCTCAGGAGCCTGGGAGGTAGCACACGCCTGTAATCCCAGCACTGAGGAAGCAGAGGCCAAGAGGATTTGCTGTTTGAAACCAGCCTGTGCTATATAGTGAAATCACACACACACACACACACACACACACACTTCAGGAATTCCTCCCTCCCTCCCCTCATGCTCCTATATTGTAATATT